AATCTTGTAATTTTTATTATTCTTGGATTTAACTTTGGGCAATTTAGACATACTGTGTTTGTATAGAAAAGCATGTATTTCAGATATATTTAATTCCATAAATCTACATATCAACAGCTGTGTACCTCCACTGAAGGAAAGATTCCTTTTCACAGACATTTTTTTATGGCATGGAAACTAATATTTTAATCCATCATTTCAAAGAATGTTCTAAGAGTTTGAATGTAGGGTAGCTGGTGAGATTTAAACTGTGGTATCAAGTCCTTGCCAAGCAAACTTTGTTTTTTGTATTTTTGCTGTTGTTAGTGATATTTTCTGTTCCAAGTAAAAGGCCTAAAAAAGAGAAAATGTTGCTTCAGAGATACTTACATTTTCATTTTCCAGGATGTTACAGTGAGCATGTATTAACCAGATTACCAGGACATTGAATGTTTTAAGATCATCCTTCAAGTAATCACCTTAGTTAAACTCAACTGCATAAAGTGTGAGTTCAGGAACTTGATGGAACTGCGTGAAAGCCGTGTCATGTGGGCACTTCAGTGTGTACTTTACTGTTTTTCATGGAAAATGAACCTTTTCAATGTATTATTTATATCTGAGTTACATTAGGGGCAAGAATTGTAATTGTTGTTCTTTTGCTTACATCAATAGCTCTATAAAAACCTTCTCTACTGATAAATTTGAGTCATACTAATGAGTAATAAATCTAAAGATAACCTTTAAAAACCATTGTAGGGCCAAGAAAGTGAATGTATAATTAGGATTATAAAGGATATGTGACTAAGGCATTCAGACACATTTCATATGGTGGTGTATGGGTGTTCTTTTCAAGTCTAATGCAACTGAATGAAAATTACTTCCTAGTTCCATCAAGATAGCATCACTGATTAAACATTGTAAGATGACATAAGGAAATAAAACAGCAAACATAAAAAATCAGAAGTTGATAAAACAGAAGCACCAGAATTTTTACCAAAGAACTAAAAAATTAATTTAAGGTGCAGATTCCTAGAGAAATTTCCAAGTCAACTTTTCACAACTTATGCTATTAATGTTTACACTCTTCCTAGTTAAAAATGGGCACACTATTCAAAAACCTGTATCAAAAGGCAGGAACTTACATGATGAATTATAATTTTACTAAAACATCATGCTTTACATTTCTGATATGCCATAAAACTTAACACGGAACAGAAATGTAAAACCTTGACCTGTGCCGTGGCTCACTAGGCTAATCCCTGCCTGCGGCGCCGGCACACCGGGTTCTAGTCCAGGTCGGGGCGCCGGATTCTGTCCTGGTTGTTCCTCTTCCAGTCCAGCTCTCTGCTGTGGCCCAGGAGGGCAGTGGAGGATGTCCCAACTCCCTGGGCCCTGCACCCGCATGGGAGACCAGGAGAAGCACCTGGCTCCTGGCTTCGGATCAGCGCAGTGGGCCGGCCACAGCGCACAGGCCGAAGCGGCCATTGGGGGATGAGCCAACGGAAAAGGAAGACCTTTCTCTCTGTCTCTCTCTCTCATTAACACTGCCTGTCAAAAAGAGAGAGAAAAAAAAAGAAATGTAAAACCTTGACCAGTGGGTTTTCATGTGTATTTTGAAGCTATTGGGCCATCACTTAGTTTGTTTCTATGGCAGGAACTTTCACGTTTTTATAATCACATTATCTTTTTGTCACCTAAAGTAGAAATGAAGACTCAGTTTGTCACTTGCTAAGCAATAGAAAAACATGCAAGTACAAACTTTAAAATGATTCACAGCTTACAAAAAGAGTTCACTTGGCATATAAAACTATTTTAAAACTACATTTAAATGGCTTTTTTTTTTAATTTCCTAGGGAAGACTGTATCTTGTCTTCTCTTTAGCTTTAGATAGTAGCAGATAGATAACATGTATAATCAGAAATATTGCAAGTTGGAATAGAAATGTTTACTATTCCCTATACCTAATTTAATGTGTTTGGGTCCACGTGTAATACATGAAAAGACCTTGGTTCTATTTGGAGGCAAAAATTTACTAATATTAGCCCAAAATCCTAATCAGTGAATTCTAGTACTAGTTCTGCTAAGGTTGAACTGTTATGGATAATTTTATTTCTTACTTTCCAAGCTGTAAAGTGGTTATATTACTTTCATAAATAGGCTTTTTTATGTCTCTCTGTGTATATATTTAGAGAGGAGGGAGACTCTGAATGACTCATTCTGGAAAAGGGGGGGAGGCAGTCAGTTTTTAACTTTGCAAATAGCTTTTCTCCCCCCTCTTCTTACTTCTTCACTGAAACTTGCCAGTTACTGTACATAAAAAGTATTCCCTTTCTTTTTATGTTTACTATCTCTGCCTGCTGCCAAGGTGTAAATCAGAAAGCTTAAGTTTCTTTCTCCCACTTCATAAACAAGACTTGGTTCTGCTTCAGACACTTGGAGCCCTGCCAAAGTTGTCATGATGATGTCAGTTTACCAAGAATGTTCGCATTTCTCATGCAGTGTTCCACATTCCCTGGACTCAAGCAAATGTCCTTTTAGAGCTCATTGAAGTTTTTGAATTGGATTAAAAAGGCATGCCTTGTTTTTAGTACTTGCCCTTCATATGCTACCTTTTCAAAATCAACAATCTGTTTGAAATAGCATGACAGTCACAGGCCACACTGTACATTTTCTATTTGTTGATTAAAAAAATACAGAATGACCAAAAGTTCATCAGGTGCTGAAGCCAGTTGGTTTAATAAATTGAAAATTTTATTAATGTAGTAGTCTCTCATTCAGCAAATATTTTATTTATCTTATGTGTGTATATATAATAGGTTTATTTGTAATATATTATTCATTTATTTTGAATTTTCCATTTCACAAATAATGAAGACTTCTTACCCAGTTTAATAAAGTAATTCTTATATGTAGGAATTGATACTTAGTGTTCCAAAGTCTCAGATGTTTTTATTAATGTTTCTTGGTTCTTGGCTAGCTGATGGGAAACTACTATGTTGTAGATTATTATTTCTAATTATTTAATACATTAATTGAATTGATAACCCATAAATATTAGGAAAAATAGACAGTTCTCTCTCTCTCTCTTTCTCTCTAACACTCTCACAATAAATGAATAAATCTTTTAAGGGGTGGGGAAGGGTGTAGAGCAGCATTGTGGTGTAGCAGGCAAAGCTGCTGCCTGTAACGGCAGCATCTCATGTGGTTGATTGGTGTCCTGGCTGCTCTACTTCTTCTTCTTTTCTTTTCTTTTTTTTTTTTTCTTTTTCTTTTTTTTTCTTTGACAGGCAGAGTTAGATAGAGAGACAGAGAGAAAGGTCTTCCTTCCATTGGTTCACCCACCAAATGGCCGCGACGGCTGGCACACTGTGCCGATCCAAAGCCAGGAGCCAGGTGCTTCCTCCTGGTCTCCCATGCGGGTGCAGGGACCCAAGCACTTGGGCCATCCTCCACTGCCCTCCTGGGCCACAGCAGAGAGCTGGACTGGAAGAGGAGCAACCAGGACAGAACTGGCGCCCCAACCAGGACTAGAACCCGGTGTGCTGGCGCCGCAGGCGGAGGATTAGCCTAGTGAGCCATGGCGCCGGCCTCTGGCTGCTCTACTTCTGATCCATCTCCTTGTTGATGTCCTGGGGAAAGCAGCAGAAGATGGCCCAAGTGTTTGGCCTCTGCTACCCATGTGAGAGGCCCAAGTGAAGCTCCTGGCTTCAGCCTGGCCCAGCCTTGGTCTTTGCGGCCATCTGGGGAGTAAACGAGCAGATGGAAGATTCTCTCTCTCTCTCTCTCTCTCTCTCTGTGTGTGTGTGTGTGTGTGTATGTGTATGTGTATGTGTCTTTCTCTTTCTCTGTAACACTTTCAAAATAAATGAGTAAAGATTTAAGAAAAAAAAAAAAAAACAGGACAGGTCTTGAAAATTACTTGGAGTGGTGGCCCCAGAGGGAATGTCTTCACTTTATATGTCCTTGTCCTAGTAAGCTGAATGGGTGTTTCATTTATGGGGAAATTAATGACAGCCATGAAGAGTTCAGTTTTTCCAATATTTAAAATGTATGTAGGTCCAATTTTAGGAACTTTGAAAGAACAACATTTTAAAGTAAAACCTTTTCTATTTTATATCCGTTGCATTGGATCTCGTTATTCGTATAATTCAAAGCAGTGTGCAGAACTGCAGTTCTGAAATGATCCTTGTAAAACATGAAGTCTGGGGGCCAGCGCTGTGGCACAGTGGGTTAAAGCCCTGGCCTGAAGTGCTAGTATCCCATATGGGCGCCAGTTCTGGTCCCAGCTGATCCTCTTCCGATCCAGCTCTCTGCTATGGCCTGGGAAAGCAGAAGATGATCCAAGTCCTTGGGCCCCTGCACCTGCCTGGGAGACCCAAAAGAAGCTCCTGGCCATTATAGCCATCTGGGGAGTGAACCAGCAGATGTTAAGACCTCTGTCTCTACCTCTCTCTCTAACTCTGTCTTTCAAATAAAATCTTAAAAAAAATACAGTCTGCCTGTCATTTTACAGGTCAAGTAACAGTGATCCTATTCAGTTGAACTACACGTTAGGAAGATTGAACCAAATAGTCAATACCATGATATATGTTACTCCTCAGTAGAATTCTATGTAAGTACTCGACTAATGCGAATGTGTTTACATAGACTTGTTACAGATAATGGACATTAATGACCTAAATAACCTAAGAAACAATACTAGTAAACAGTTGTTTATGTTGTAAATGTTTGAAATTTTTATATCCTCTCATTTAAATTTGCAAATTGCATATTTACAAGGAAGGAAAGGGGGAGTGGATATTAATTTTTTTGTTAAAGATTTTATTTGTTTGAGAGAGAGAGTTACAGACAGCGAGAGGGAGGGACAGAGAGAAAGGTATTCCATTTGCTGGTTTACTCCCCAAATGGCCCCAGTAGTTGGAGCTGAGCCAATCTGAAGGCAGGATCCAGGAGCTTCTTTGGGGTCTCCCATGCAGATGCAGGGACCCAAGCACTTGGGTAATCTTCTACTGCTTTCCCAGGCCATACCAGGGAGGTGATTCAGAAGAGGAACAGCCGGGACACGAACAAATACCCATATGGGATGCTGGCACCACAGCGGAGACTTAGCCCATTATGCCATAGTGCCAGACCCATTAATTTTTATAATGGACTTTCTTTGACTTTCCAGGTTAGTGTTCCATATTGCATATATTTCATTTCTCTTCTGATACTGTGCATTGTAAATAATTTTGTTTTAACCACTAAGTTTTGACTCATTGAAAATGATGGAAGGTCTTAAGACAGTTCCTAACTAAAACACTTGGAGAAGTATTGTTGATCAGGGCAAAACCCTGGCCCCGTGCCCTTCATTCTCACTGAGCAGCATATAATGACTTCTGATGAGATTTTAATTCATAAACTCAAATCATCTCTCTTAATCCTGCTAAGACTTCTGTATGTTAAAAGTATCCTTTTGGTAATTTTTAGTGCATTCCCTTATAGCTTTTTATAGTAGTTTCGAAACAAATTTAAACTAGGCAAATTAAAATCTGGTTTGAATACAGAGATTTTAAATTTCTATTTTAAGAAATAATTGCAGATTCCAAAAGTAGTTTTTAAATTAGCAAGGAGGCCTCAAACAATGTTTCATTCCCATCTTAGAACTCCTCATCATGCTCTCCAAAATTTCAAGAGTGAATTTTCAGAGCTAGAAAGGGACCTGAATTCCAGAAGTGGCAGCGTCCATATCCTATGTTGCCTGAAATGAATTCATGATAGTGACAGATCAAATTCAGTGATTTGATGGTGGATTTCTACAAGAAATTTTGTGGAGATCTTCAGACAAATAAAATAGTCTCCTATAATGAAATGATAGATATAATTATACATTAAGCCACACACAGTTGTATACTAATGTTTCTCAGTAGATGGTAACTGCTTAAGAACCTAACTATATTCTTACCCCTCATTTTTGTGTATTGCAAAAAATATATAAAATTTTGTTCACTGACATTAATTTGATTTTTCCATGATTTTAAGTTTTTGTTTTGTGCATCTTACGACATTTCCTAAAAAAAGATTCCATTTTTCCCCGAGAAATATTTTTCTTTTTAAAAAATACTTATTTTAATGATTTGAAAGATTTGCAGGGAGACAGAGACAGAGAACTTCCACCTGCTGGCTCACTCCCCAAATGGCCACAATGGCCAGAGTTGGGCTGATTCGAAGCCAGGAGCCAGAAGCTTCTTCTGGGAGCTGGATCAGATGTGGGACAGCTGGAACTCGAACCGGCACCCATCACAAATAATGGTTTACATGTTATGCCACAAGGCCAGCCCTTTCTATTTATTTATTAAGATTTATTTATTTATTTGAAAGGAAGAGTTACACAGAGAGAGAAGGAGAGGCAGAGAGAGAAAGAGAGAATCTTCCATCCACTGGCTCACTCCCCAGATGGCCGCAACTGCTGGACCTGTGCCAATCCAAAGCCAGGAGCCAGGAGTTTCTTCCGGGTCTCCCAGGTGGGTGCAGGGGCCCATGGACGTGGGCCATCTTCTGCTGCTTTCCCAGGCCATAGCAGAGAGCTGGATCGGAAGTGGAGCATCCCACACTCGAACCAGTTCCCACATGGGATGACGGCACTGCAGGCTGAGACTTTAACCCACTAAGCCACAGCGCTGGCCCCACTTTTTATTTTTCTAGTTGACCCAACTTGGTGTTATCCAACTTGAGTACAATTCCTTCATCTCACCTTTGAAAGACCATTCTTCCAAATTTGGTTCCATTTAATATATTTTTTGTCTCATTTCCAATATGAACTCCAATTTGATCCCTTTGCTCACAAGCAGCCAATTAGAATATTGGGAGAATCCTAGCTTAACAAATTTATGAGGTTAATTTCTGTAAAGCAGCGCTTGCTTTCTATAGCCTGGAGTTGTACTGTGGTGGTGTTTGTTGTTGTTTGGTGATCTTGTTCTGTTTTGTTCTCTCAGCTATTTTCTTTTTATCTTTAAAAATCACTTCCTTTTTTATCGTTGTATGTACATAGCTAGCATTTGAGGACACAGTGTATACATACTTCTATAAATTCAAGGATTCAAATCTGCTCTCATGGGGCAAGTTTATTTTCAGACTTCTCCAGATTCTATTCCCAAACAGAAATGTAGTCTGAACAAAGCAGAGACTGAAGATTGAATTGAATGAGACGAGACCGACACAGTGTCTCCTCTCTTCTCTGTAGCTGTGCTGCCCGACCTCCTTCCCTTTTGTAGGAAGTTCTTTTCAGATCCCTAGCTGTTTGCTAGTCTTTTTCTCCCCTGCAGTTCAACGCTGCTTTATAAACATTCTTTTAATGTTCAGTTTGTGTTTGGAGAACTTTATTCAAAGTGTTAAAATCAAATGCTATTAAGTTCTCCAAGATCCATTGATTCTGCATCCTTTTACTTTTCAATGTCTGATACAACCAGGAGTATAATTCAGTGGTGTTTCTGATTCCTGTCACATTAATGCACTAAAAAATAAGCAGAACAATAACTCATTTGTTCTCCTACCTCCAAAGAAGAGCCCAATTCCTTGGGTTGTATTGGAATTTTATTTTTGTATGTGTTCTGAAATGAAAGAACCAGCAACCAGAGCTTGGGCCCTTTTTTTTTTCAGATAGCAATGTATCACTAATAATATCTACCACTGTATAAGAGAATTCACTTTATATTGACGAAATATTTGCAGATTACTTAGAGACATTTCCATCAAACAATGGGTGGTCTAATTGTATTGTTAGAGCTGAGTTAAAGTCAGTAATTTTATTTTATATGAGGGTATCCCAAAATGTTTATATCCAATCGCTACATTTAAAATTCTAAACTTTCTTGATTTTGACTGTTTATAATTAAGCAATATGTTGATGCTGAGATTATTGTCAACGTTTGATAAACACAGCAATTTATGTGGGAACTCCCTGACTTTAAGTCAAGTTAAGAGTTAAAATAAACCACCTCACAGTGTATTACAAAATAGACTTAACATAACCCGAATGGAAAGCGTATCCAGCGTCTGGACAATTGAGATGATTAACTGCTGCACCACGGGCGATCTGCTTTTGGCTGACTGAGTCCTTCCACTGACCACCTATGTCAATAGCACCATCATCACCCAGATCTCAGAACCAGGTCAAGTTGCCCCAGTGTCATTTTCATCAGCTTGGCAATGTGACCGCCTGCCAGAAATTCATCAGTTACTTTTCATCCAGAGAGGCAAATAGCATTTGTTTAGGAAGATTTAGCCAGAAACTGCCATGTCCTATTCTCATTGCCAATTAAACCAAATTACCATTGCTTTATCAAAGTTGCAAAGAGAAAACTTCCTAAAAGTTCTCCTCTATATGAGTCTACATGAAGAACTTCATGTAAATTCTAGTGGAATTAATTTTCCTTCATCTATTTTCATATAATGAATTTTTATTCTACTAGTTTATCATTGAATGATATTTCTAACAATTAAAATTTTTGCCCAATTTTAGTTTTGGTTTAGAGTTCAATTATTTAATTGCGTGAAATATGATTGAGAGAGAAGACTTCCCATGCTATGGTGGTAATACTGTATTCTTAAAAAAGGTCTTCCAATACATAACATTGTAGTCATTTTTAACCCTTGCACAAATGACAACATCATGGTAAATCTGTTCCCTGGATCAAGAATTCTCTATGCTCTGCATGTATTTCATTTGCTCATATATCTCACTTGTCCGGTTTGCTTATAGACTGTAGACCACTCAATAGCTTTCTGACTTTCCCCTGCATTATAAATTTGTATATAAATGTATACTTGTGTTTTATCATTTACCAGTTTGAAGGTTTTTTTTTTTTTAAGATTTATTTTATTTATTTGAGAGACAGAATTACAAAGAGAGGCAGAGACAGAGAGAGAGATCTTCCATCCACTGGTTCACTCTCCAGATGGCTGCAACAGCCAGTGCTGTGCCAATCTAAAGCCAGGAGCCAGGAGCTTCTTCCGGGTCTCCCAGGGGATCAAGGACTTGGACCTTCCTCTACTGCCATCCCAGGCCATAGCAGAGAGCTGGATCAGAAGAGGAGCAGCTGGGACTAGAACTGGTGCCTGTGTGGGATGCTGGCGGTTCAGGCCAGGGCTTTAACCCGCTGCACCACAGTGCCGATACCTTGAAAGTGTTTTTGTACCAGAAATCTTCAGGCTTAATTTTTATCTTGCCTATAGAATTTAATTTCTAAAACATTATTCAAGTAATTAGGCATTTCTAGATGGAGTAAATTGCTATTTACTCATCACACTGAGCAGTTCCTTTTTTCCCATTTAGCAAGATGAGACATAATAATTGATCATTTATGTTTATAATATGTTTTATGCTTTAACAGTTGAAACATCAGGGACTCATCTCATGCATCTTTTCATGCCCCAGGAGTATGTAAAGCTTTTTCTGGCACCCAAAAAAGCCTGGTGTCTGTCTCCAAGCCTAAGAATGAAGGTACTTGTTAGCATTAATCCTGATACTCAAGAAACTTTCTTTTTTTTACGATTTATTTATTTGAAAGTCAGAATTACACACACAGAGAGAGAGAGAGAGAGAGAGAGAGAGAGAGAGAGAGGTCTTCCATCCAATGGTTCACTCCCCAGTTGGCCGTAACGGGCAGAGCTGTGCTGATCCAGAACCAGGAGCCAGGATCTTCTTCCTGGTCTTCCATGTGGGTGCAGGGGCCCAAGGACTTGGGCTATCTTCTACTGCATTCCCAGGCCATAGCAGACAGCTGAATCGGAAGTGGAGCAGCCAGGTCCTGAACCGGTGCCCATACAGGATGCCGGCACTTCAGGCCAAGGTGTTAACCCGCTGCACCAGAGCTCCGGCCTCTCAAGAAACTTTCACACCTGCTACATTTCAGAGAAGCCAGCAGTTGAGGGCCATGTTTCAACAGAACTGCAGCCTGTTCAGTCTAAGTCCAGTTGATGAGTTCCAGAAGAGATCAAATCTAAAAGAAACCATTGGGAATTGGGGTTGGAAAGGAGAGGCAGAACAGTTCTATGAATATAATGCAGAGGTCATAGTAACACCAGTCTTTGTAAGACTCCTCAGGCTAGGATGTGTGGAGGACAGAGCAGAGTGCACACAGGTCTTTGGAGATCTGGTGCTTGGCAAAAACAAGGCAGGGGTTGATCTGA